AGGCTAGTGCACAGTTGTGTTAGTTACTGGCAAAGTCCTGGATGGTCAGCTTTGGTTGAAGTGTTAGAAGCCAGAGTCAGAACAACACAATAGGTTCAAGTAGTTTGGATTTGGACTGGGAGCGGTGATGAGAATGAGCCGTAAGTCTGTGACTGGGTATACGCCGTGGGTGGAATGCAAAGGGTAAATTGCATACTCATAAGGGCAATTATGACCTTGCTCTCCCTAAAAATGTGGTTTTGTCTTCCTACTCTACCTGTGAAGGTTCTTGCTCCCTCCCTTTCGTTGGCAGTAGTGTTTGTGGGGCTGCGTGGTGGGTCACATCAGCTCACTGAGGAGCTGAAGCTAACCCCTTCGGACAAAAATAAATTATCTGAAATGGGGGGAGATGGAGAGAACGTGTCATCTAAGTGTATTTATGGGTGCTCGTGTCATGTAAAGACTTCCATAAAATCAGTTTGGCTGAGAATTAGGGATTTAATAGGGGAAAATCAAAGTTGGAAACAGTTTGGAGCTGAACAGGATTAAAAACTATTTGAAGATGAGGGTAGGGATCCAGAAAACAAAGATTTTTATGCTAGGTTTTTTGAATTTATTTATCTTAGGCTTTAAGCCTGCAGTTTCTGCCTTTGACAGCATAAAGGCAACAGTGCTGTGTCTTCAGACAGCAAGTACTGTCCTGCTTTGCATAGTGTGACCCTTTATTTGCACTTTTTATTACTTGGTGGCCACAAGCAGCGTAGAGAGTGTCTGGTAAGTGGTGTGATGTCTGGGGGTCCCGGGGTGGGGGGCGTGTTGCAGTTTCACAAACACCTCCTCGGTGGCAGTACTGTCTGTAGCAGTCCTGCAGATGTGCCACACGGTAAATCCTCCTGAGGAGGCTGTAGTCTAGCTGACAATCCTGATTTTTCATGCGTATCAGTTCTCTAGCGTAGTTTACCATGTATCTCCATAAATATTTGCCCCAGCGCTGTGGGGCATGGAAAAACTAGCTGTGTGTTGAGGCTTCCTTCTTTCATTCCTGTTTGACTGCTGCTCTGGTTAGTGATTAAGAAACAAACCCAAGTGGATGTGGAGTCAGACTAAGACATTTTTAAGCTTCGTAGGCTTCCTTGCCCTGTTCCTCCTTCCCACTTTCCATTCCTGCCTCAGTCATTGTATCTGTATATGGTGAATGAGATGGGCTGTACCACGTGTGTTGCAAATCACTGTCTTCTGCTTCAGCTTTTACCAGATCCGTGCATCTATGAAAATTCCTCCAAGAATTCCACACAAATTAGAAGCTAGCTTGTTACATGCAACTGGTAAGTACAAAAACTTTTGGTAAATGAGGTCATTTTCTTGCCTTGGTAATTAAGGGAGCAAGATTTTTGTCTTACATTGTTATAACTAATATAAAAGTGTTATTAATTTTGCAACTAACACAATAAAAATGTAAGTTTTTTCATGAGGCCCTGCTGAAAAACTAGCTTGTTCTTAGCAATGAGACTTAAAAGAGTGATTGATTACAGAATTTAGGTTACTATTTTTCCTCTGTTAATTTCCTTTGTCAGTAGCAAAACACGATGATTCCTTTATATTGGCTTTTTTCCACTGTTCTAATCAGTCTTCCCCATGTTTCAGACTAAGATGACCAAGGGCAAGTCTCGTTGGAGCAGATCCTCGTAGTAGTAGTAAACTGTAGATACAGACCCTTAACACAGATTGCTAAACCTATTTTTTTCCAAAAAGAAGGACCCTCAAAGGATCAAGTCTTGCAGTTTTTTCAGACTTCCTCTCTGGTGGCAAAGTTGAAAATTGATGTAACCTCCTGAACAGAAATACCCATTCCCTCATCATCTTTTCTTTTTTTTTTTTTAAACCTGACACTTACTTCTGGGGTTTTTGTCCAAGCAAACTGAACACGGAGAAACCTGTTAGTGCTCTCCTAATTCTGTGAAGCCCACACTTCAGCATGCTGTGAAAATGTGAAGAGCAAAGAATTAATTAAGTTTTCAAGTATCAGGTGGAATTCTTGGAATTGCAAGGAAAAAACCCAAACGACTACAGTCCAAGAAAATGTGATGTGAGATTATCAAAACCTGAATTTTTGAGGTTATTTTCGAAGTAACTCTGAGTAGAGCAACAGTGTAGATACTGAATTTTAGTCATGCTTCCTGAATATTTCTTGGATTTGTGTGAAATAAGTAATGCTTTTGGACCAAGATTACTCCACTTCAAAGGCAAAGTTTAATGCATTTAGGGCATTTAGCTCAGCTAAACTGATCCTTTAGGAAACAGCACTTCTTCAATAGTGTCATAGAATCATAGAACGGTTTGGGCTGGAAGGGACCTTAAAGACCATCTAGTTCCAACCCCCCTGCCATGGGCAGGGACACCTTCCACTAGACCAGGTTGCTCAAAGCCTCATCCAGCCTGGCCTTGAACACTTCCAGGGATGGGGCATCCACAGCTTCTCTGGGCAACCTGTTCCAGTGCCTCAGCACCCTCTCCGTGAAGAACTTCTTCCTGATATCCAATCTAAACCTCCCCACTTTCAACTTAAACCTGTGTCACTTAATGATATGTTTAATATCACTGAAAAAAGAAAGTTTTTACATTTCTTGGTACATTTTAGAGTGATCCTCAGGTTTTTTTCCAGAAAGCTGCGATCTTGTTAGCAAATTGTGACATACGTGTTAGCTCCTTCATCTCTTATTGCTAGGTGTAAAGGATGCAGACATTCAGACTGCAGTTTGATGTGAGTTTAGATCAGCAGCACTGTCAAAAGAAAAAAATCACCCCATGATTCCCCTGGGAATGGCCACTCCTCCTGACCTTCATGTTGCTGTGTGCTCTCGTCACACAGGTGTGTCACTTGGCCCAGGGGCTCAGCTGGGGAACTCAGCCAGCTGGCAAGCAGCCTTTTTGTGAAAATACAAACTCCTTAAAACCCAAAACCTGGGGTCCTTTCCAGGTGTCTCAGCCTTTCCCAGCTCTTCGTGAGGTCCTGTGATTGTTTAAATCCGATTTTCTTCCATTCCTATTTCCCCCATCCTTCAGTAGGTCACTAGAATTGCTTGGGACCCAGGACGAGCGTCATCACAGCCGTGATATGGCAAGCCACTTGCTTTAGCTCCAGCCCTGTGAAGGTCTCCTGGCGTTCTTGTAATTTGAAGGGAGATGTAGTCATGCTCCAGGAAGTTAAAAGAAAAATCTAAGTCTGGCCTATATAGGGTTGTTTCAGATTTGAGGCTGTTCTGAATTCCTTCTTCTATCAGAAACTCATGGCTGGTTTTCAGGCAAAGAAAAGGAAGGAAGAAAAAAAAGGCACGTTAGGAATGAGATGTCCATTTTTACGATGCAAGAATAAATTAATTCACCGCTATTTTTCCCCCCTTCATTGCTGGGATGGCTTTTTGTGTGGCTGGAAGCCTAGAAATAGTTTTGGCCACTCAGTGCATGGTTGACTTGAAGAAATGGTACTTCTGCCTTGTTGAGTGCCCGTTTGTGAGATCTGGCATCCCACGTAGACGTGGCTCGGCCTGTTCCTGGTGTCCACTTTTCCTCTTCAGCTCCTCTTTCTCAGTTCCGAGGGTGCTGTTTCACGTTAGGCTGAAGTCAGCGGCACTGAGCCCTGCAACTGGCAGCTGTGTAGGAAGTGGGACCTTGGCCACGTGTCTCCTTTACTTCTTCTGTATCAGAGTGGGGTGGGAGACCCCTTGTGCTGATGCTGACAGCAGATTGCGTGTCAGTGTGAAACCATGACCCGCTGAACCCTTCACCTCTAACAGACGTGGATGGGTGTAGGCTGAGCGTGGTATTATATGTAGGGGAATTACCCTTCAACGATTCAGCCTTTGTGAGCATTTTGTCCAGGACACCTAAAGTGATGGTCTGTGTGACACCCCCAGTATTTTTACGTGTTCCTGGTTTCTGAAGGGAAGTTGGACTAAGAAGTTAGGAAGTTGCAGAATGGGATTATTTGTTAGGTGCAGTGATTTTCTGTCAGGGGCCTGTAGACCCCCAAATCTGTAAAGCACAAACTTTGCAGATATTTTTCTTTTGTGGATTCCTTTGAAGTAATTTTTTAAGGAGAATCAAAATAATTTAAAAAAAAAATATTTTGTTCTCTCATTTAGACAATTTTTAGGACTTTCTGTTCTGGAAGGAGTTAATGTTACTGAGCTTGCTTGTAGAGGAGTGATAACAAAGTGCTGATATTTCTGTTACTTTTGTATCTTCCAAGTTCCATTTTCTTTTATGTGTTGTTTCACATGATAGTGCCCGTCATGATATTTCCTCTGTGTTAACCCCTTGCTATTTTCTAAATACTTCCTCAGTAACTGATTTAAACCATTCCCTTTCTCATCTCTGCTACAAGTCTTTTCGCCTTTTTTTTTTCCTGACAAAGGATTCCACAACCATTTATCACACTTTTCAGAACTCTTTTTGATGAGCAGTCTCTGGACTGAAAGCAGAAGTGTCATACGGAATGAGAAATGTAAGGTTTAGGTGATATGTTTGGAACTGGTCTGGCGAGAGTAGTGTGGAAAGATCTGGAAGGAAAGAATGAACCACCTCTGTTCTTGATAAATTCCTGGAGTGTATGTGTCATTTAACTGCTTGCCTCACCTGTAGGTAATTAAGAGTTCTCAGTGTAGTTAAGCCTTGCAAATCAACATGAAAGCTGGATGAAACAAGACAGATTTTTCAGGATTTTTATTAGATTTTTTGATGCCTAAAATACTTTACTCCAACTTGGAACAAAGCCAAAATTTTCAGTCTAGAACTTATATTAAAAGCAAATTATATTAAAAATATTGATACAGTATTTCTCTGAAACAAAACAGTTCTTCAGACTTCTGCAGTTGCTGACTGAGATGGAAACTGCTAATATTGTTGGTGTTACAGGCTTAATGGTGCTCATGAAACTGATAGGATTGATGGTTCCACTTACTAGCTGCTCTGGGGTTTCCAGATTCTAGGCCAATTGCATTAATACTTCTTTCTCTTTGCAGGTGCAGATCTTGCCTTCCCTGCTTCAGTCCATGACAATATAGTTTGCAGTAAAACATTTCAGATTCTTTACAAAAATGAGGAAGTTTCTGTGAACGATGTGATGATTTTCAAAATAAAAATGCTGTTAGATGAGAGGAAGGTAATCTGCCACTCAGCCTTACTGTGTTCAGATAATTAAGGCTTTGTTATGTACAATTTGGATTAGTATAAATAAGACACCTGAGAAGATCTCATGAGTCTACAATTTCTTTTTTAGATTGAGGAGTCTCTTAATGAAATGAATTTTCTGCTAACATTAGATCTACACTTCACGGATACAGACTACTCGTAAGTGCAAATACAGAAGAATTTATTAAAGCAACAATATGTGTTAACTTTTTAAACTGGTTAAATCTGTATTATATACAGATGTAGTGTGTTCATATGAGACATACATGAGGGTAAAAAATAAATTCGATACTGAAGTCTGTTAAGATTTCATACCTGTTTTGTCTTACTCTGATCTTTTTTTTCAGATTTTTTTTTCCTGCAGGGGAAATCTATTGCATTTCAAGTTACAGACCTATGCTAAATTGCTATCTGCATCAGTTATTAATAACTTGCGCTGTAAATGTGATCATTCTGATTGTGTGTTGTTTTAATTTCTTCTTAGACCAGATGACCTGAGCACACTACAGCCGATTAGTAGCCGAACTTTAAAGTTGCACTTTAGCTTACACCGGGGCCTTCATCATTACGTCAATGTTATGTTTGATTATTTCCACCTTTCTGTCATATCGGTTGTAGTCCATGCTTCTTTGGTGGCTCTGCATCAGCCATTGATAAGGTAATATCTTGTTAATAAAATGCAAATAAATTATTATTGAGTGTCCAAATGGAAATATTGTAGAAACAGAATACGTTGGATGGAGCTAAATGTATGGCCAATGTAGTTTTATTTATGATGATTTTGGAATTCAGGGCCCAGGGGGATGCGAAACTTTTTGTTTTCAAAGTTACCTGGAAAAAATTTTGAGCTTGTCTTTATTAGAAATAACAGTATGTAGTGTAGAAGAGACAGAATACCCAAGACCAGAGAAGAGGACACATGTAAATATCTGTATTTATAATAGCATGATTACATGTTAATATTCATGTGTTCTTAGTTGGGAAGATCTGCCACACTCTCTAGCAACTGAAATAGGTGGCATTAATCTAAATAGGGCATCTTCTGTTAGCTGTCCACAGTTTTCAGTTACTGCTGTAATGGAAGTGATGTCTGCAAACGATACTTTTACCATTTTCTAAAGTAAATGGAACTGGAGAATTTAGTTTTCCATTTTAAAAAGCTTTTGGCTAGTTCTTACTGAAGCCTTTTTATTTCATTGACTTGTGTCACCCTTTGCAAGCTCCATTTACCTGGCTTCTCTGTCTCAAAAGTAGGTGTGAAAAAGTGCCATACAGTCAGGCACACATACACAGTGTTCTTGGCACAGTTTTTTCTTCAGCACGACTCTCTTTGCCTTCTTTCATAGTCTTCAACTACTCCACACTACTTCCCCCAAGTTTTTTCATACTCCCATTCAGGCTGTGCCGTAAATGTCCAAGAGGAACAAATAGTGAGGAGGTGGGAGTTGCCTTAAGCTAGTATTGTTGTTGAAGACTTCATTTAAAGTAGCAGCACGTACATAACATTTAAGTTGTTGCGCTGTACCACAAGTGAAATTCAAGTGTTTCACCTGTATTCATCCTGTAGCTGTAGGGTCAGACGTCACTTCATTATGAGAAAATGAAAATGAAAAACAGGGTTTGTTACTAATTTTCAGTCAGAAATGTATTTGTCCCTGCTGACTTTTGAAAAGGTTGTAGGAAATGCAACATTTTTAATACACTTTTTCCTCTGTTTCTGGCTTTTCGAGTGGTGATAATGCTATTTAATTTTAAACCTTGACTTGCGTAAGGAGAGTTTGAAAGGAAACAGCAACTTCCATGCTGCTTTGGTTATCTTTACAGCAGAATGTGACTGGTGTCTACAGAATTATTTTAAGGAGCCAAGTTGACCTTTAAATCAGTTTGGGGTGAGGAGAGGAAGAAACCTTCAGATGTACAGTGTTTTATTTCAACTGGGCTATCCCACATCATAATACTTCGCAAATACTTCATAGTTGGGGTATCCATATCACGCTTGCTTTTCTGGAGCACCTCTTCCTGAAAAACGTGAAGATTGCAGACTTCACTCCCCTTCACCCTTTGGGCTTTCCTCGGTGGCAGTTGGCTGCTCTGTTTGGGCCACGTTCCCATTATTGGCACCCCTTCCTTTCCTAGGGGTCACTTTCTGAGTGGTTTCCTTTTCAGAGTAGCTTCCACGTTCTCCTGTGGGGAACAACCAGGATTAAGACTTTCCTTGAAAGAGAGGAGATAATCCCACATGTTTACAGACCTGAGATCCTGTACGATCTACTCTTTATATTAACCTGTCATTGCTCATTTCTGCCCATTAGCTGAAAGTCCCCGCTCTCTGTGTTCAGTCACCTTTCATTTTTCCTAGTCCTTTGTTCACATAAGGTTCTCCCAGGGGGCTCAGGATGGGCTCTCCTCTGCAGTGGGCAGAGCTCAGGCATCCCATAGGAAAAGCAAGCGCGGTTTATGTGACAACTTTCCAATTGCTTGCTACTGCTTTACTTGTAGGAGGTAAAGTCCCCACAATAAAGGTGGCAGAAAATGAATGCTTCTTACCTGTTACGGTTTAAAATTTATCTGTATGGCTTAAACTTTTGGGAATAATGTTTAAATTAGTTGAGATTTGCAATGGAAATCATGAGGAAGAGCTTGCCCAAGTCTCCTGGCACAGAGTCTGCTGACCTTCATGGTGAGAGATGGCAACGGAACAGTGGAGGGTGTTAATTCCTTACATTTCTCCCAGCAGCTGGAGTCATGCTTTGAAGAGAACTGCTGGAGGAGCGCTGCTCCCTTAGCACAGCACCCAAGAGTTAACTGAGGTAGCCGGGCCTTCCTGAGGGGTTTTAAAAGGTCAGCCTGCCGTGCTACGAACTTCCAGGATCCTACTGAGAGTCTGTGTTTCTGCTTCTTCTCCAGAAAGATCAAGATTTTGTTTGAACTGTGATGGGTCTGTGACACAGAGCATGTTGATATTGTCCGTTCGTTTGTGCTTTTTGCAGTTTTCCTCGCCCAGTGAAGAATACGTGGTTGAACAGGAACGCACCAGCACAAAACAGGGACTCTGTGATTCCTTCTCTTGAAAGCGTGGTCTTTGGCAATAACTACACAAAACAGTTATCGGCGGATGTAAGAATATATCAGTGTAACATTTTGGTTGTATTTTGTTGGGTGGTTTGAATTTTATCTTTTCTGCAGCAGTGTTATTTGATAAAGAGTGAACTTTGTTAGACGTACTGTGGTGTGCCACGTGATATGGGAAATGAGAAAAATGGTTCCAAAAGGTTATTTTACATGCTTCAGGAACACGCAGATGGAAAGCTTACAGTAGATAGAGTTTAACCTTGGTTTTAAGGCATTGCAGTCCATTGAAAATCACAGAAGTGTCAGTGAAAAAGGCAGTTTGTTTTTCTGTCTTTTTAGTTGCTCTGTTACCACTTCATTTACTGTACGAAATTAATATGTTCCTCGTCTTTTTTTCCTTTTCGTTTTCAGGGATGCAGTTTTGTTGTTTCAGAGTCTTTCCTCAGCCATGCCTATAATTTCCACTATACGCTTTGTGCCAGTTTGCTGCTTGCTTTCAAAGGGTTACATAGCTATTTCATGATGATAACAAAGGAGCTTCCCACTTCTCACCGAATTGAGCTGGGTATGTTGAATGTCATAGAACGCATCACTGTCCTGGTGAGGTTTATTAAAAATACCCCTCTTCTAGGCTGAACTGACACAGATTTTGTACATCTTGTGTATCTAAAATCTTTTTGCTCAAACTGAGCTGGAATTTAATAACTCAAATATGTATTAAAAAAAAAAAGAAACCAAATGCTGTCACATTACCAATGAAATGAGGGAATAACAGCCTCAATTTAAGCAAATATATTTTTTCTTGTTGGTCTTGATTTGCCCTGTTGCTTCACAGCGCTGGGTTTAGTGGTGAGAAAGTTAGAGAAACTTGATCAAAGTAGCATGCTGCACTCGGCTGTTTGTTATCAGGAAACATTGTACATTCATATAGAAATTGGAACTCCGTAAGCTTTGCTTTGAGAAGAATAGTACAATGGAAACCTGTCTGGAAAAAAGACCTACAAGAAGAAACTGCTGCTGACTCGGTTTGTAGTGTAACTTTTTAAACAGAGTTACCTAAGGATTAGGAAAAAATCTGGATAGGCAAGAACTGTTTCTGTAAAGCTGAGTAGTTAAAATGTGCTTTCAGAGAAGCTATTTCTTTACAGGACAGTATGATAGAAAGAAATTTAAGTTCTGAGGCGATGGAGGCTTTAGTAACTACATTTGATAAAACGAACTGTGAAAATATTACATTAAATGTAACGTAGAATCACAAAGTGGTTTGGGTTGGAAGTGACCTTAAAGACCATCTAGTTCCAACCCTCCTGCCATGGGCAGGGACACCTTCCACCAGAGCAGGTTGCTCAAAGCCTCAAAGCCATTTCTGTGGCATACAGTTGTACTGGGGAGCCTAGCCCCGTATTGTGAACTAGGAGAGTGGCAAAAGTGAAAAAAGGAAAATACACTGGCATTGCAAAGGATTATTTAGACTTTTTTCGCATCAAGCACATACATTTTTAGTCATGTAAATGTCCATTTAAATTTAAAAAAATTGTACTTTTTTGAATTTACATTCGTTGTAGACGGCATTTATTGATTTCGTATTGCTTAATTTTTACCAGTGTCAACAGCTAAGCATTATGAAACAATAAGGTTGAAAGTTGAGATATGAAAACTACTTCTAAAATGTGATGTGGTCAGTTAGGGATTCAAACAAAGAATGTTTCGCTTGGATATTACAAAATACAAAGCTGTTTTTTGAATTTTTGGTTTGGTTTTTTTTTTTTGTGAGGAGTGCATTATAAATCTGTGCGCAGGAAATTAGCAAAAACAGAGAGATTTTCTGTATAGAAGCAAAACCAGTGCTACAGTTACAGTGCTAAGAATGTTTCTGTGTCAGTTATCTTCATCTTGATGTGGAGGGGAACACCCTATTAAAGGAATGACTCAGCTCTTAGTCTTCCTGTTGAGGACAAAATAGGCTTTTTCTCAAATAGAATCTGTTGGCATTATTGTTGTAAGGATAGGCTTAGATTAAATCTTGATGCTTAAATGTTTCAGATAGGAACTTCAGTTCTCCTAAAATGTTCCTACAAATATATGGGTAATAGAAAAAAGCCAACTGTTATGTTCCGTAGTCGAGTTGTGTCTTTCAAGCCACACTGAAGTCACCAAAAACATGTTCATAAGCTTCAGTGGAACTTGAGTCAGACCTTCTGTCGTTTCTGTGGGTAATTTAGCTTACCTTCAGGAATGCAAGCTTGAACAGAAACGCTCAAAATGCATGTAAATAGTAATTTTCACTCAGTATATTTAACATTCATTGGGCATATCCTGCTATCAGTTTGTTTCCTGTGGTGGTTTTTTTGGTTTCGTTATTTCTTAAGTTAGAATTACTTTGCTTTCTTATTTGTAAATATTGTTTTCATTTATTTCAGTTGTTTTATATATAGATTGATTGGGACAATTGACATAACAATAAGGACTACTAATGCAAATATTAATTACGCTACTGTTACTCACCTTTTGCTCACGAAAGATAACTAATGACTACCATTAATGCTACTTTTTCTAAAATCTGTCAACAGTTAAAAAAATTAAGAGCTGTGTTTCTGTCCTGTCTAAATGAAGCTTTATAGACTCCACAAAATGCACAGTTGTCATTTTAATTTATTTTTCATTTTTAAAATAAATGAACTGCTTTACAGTGGAGATTTGATGTGTGAAGATTAAATGAGCATTGCGGAAGAGACGCTCAAGTCCTTTTTAATCTCAGAATCGCACTTTGGTTTAAATTACATCATAATTTTGTTTTCTTGTTTGCTTCGCTATTGCTCTGTCATATAATTTTTAACATGACAGTGATTGTGCAGAAGCATGTGCAGACAACTGTTGGACTCAATAACTGTAACTGAGCGTTGAATTATTGCTGGTTTCAGGAAATAAAAAATGCTAGCATAATGTATATCACAAGTGATCTAATCTGGAAACGACACTAAAATTATATGCTTTTGCGTACTGATCTAACTGCACTAATTGCTAGGCTAGCAATAAGCTTTTTTACTAACTTTAAGGCAAATAATAAATCACAGATGAAAAAAAGGAGTGTAGTAACTAGTCATGTGTGTGCAATCCCTATAACTAGCCAAGGCCAGCATGCAGGTCCTTTATGAACGCCTTCTCAGAAGAAAATATCCACGAACCCAGAGAGACGCCTACCTAGGTATGTTTTCAAAGCAGGTGATATAACCCCTCAGATTTTTATTAATAATACAAATGAATATATTCTTATTAATAAAGCAAAATATATAAATATTATATTCTTCTGTAAACAGGAACACTATTTCACCATTCAGCCATAGTGAACATGCGTTGAACTCTGAAGTCTGCAGAACTGAACTCCTTATTTCTAGGCTGAATATAGATAATAAACCAAGAGATTACTACTGGGTTTTGATTTAGTGTTGTTCTGTTTTACTGACCAAAACTTACTGAAGAGTTCACTCAATTGTAAAATACCTAAAAATTATACTTCCTTTTTAACTCCTCACAGACTTAATTTTTTAGACAATTAAAGACCATTATCTTTTCTTCCTGAGAAATCTTTCACGTTGCTTGTGGTATCTCAAGGCTTGATTCTTCCAAACACTACACAGGACAACATTCTCAAAGCTTAAGGGGCATTTGTCCACATCTAAATTGCCAACTCTCCCTCTGGAGAGTGTCGGTGTGGGCCAGATGCTGGACAAAACCCAGCAGTTTTGTTTAAGCAGAGGGAGGTTTGTGACGGGAAAAGATTAAAATGGCAGTTCAGTCTCGTAGCAGGTCACCAGCTTAATCACCTGTAGCTGCATTTTGGTTTTGTTTTAAAGGGAAAACAAAACGGGGTTTTAGCAGGGCCAGCCAAATTCGGTCAGATGTTTGCTGGGGGAACATGACTGCTGTAGAATGTTAGCATTTCATTTTCTTTCGTCTTGGGTCTGCTCTGGTTTTGGTTGTGGTTTTTCATTTATAACATTGCAGTTTGAGATTTTCCATAGTGACTTTAGACTTCAGAGTTTCAGATGTTGTTCAAAGCCTGTTCTCGATTGCAGTGTGACAGACCAGACAGTCGGCATTGCGTCCGGAATCTTAAACCGTTTTCACATATCTTCAGAATAATTGCCAAGTACTGTGTAGCTAACCTGGGTGCCTGTAGTTTCTTTCAGAAACATTTTCTAAGCTTGTTTCTGAGAATTTTGTGCATTTCTTCAGTTTGCATATTTTCTCAGAACTATGTGGAGTTAATTTGTTTGGCATTAGGTTTAAACCTAAGTGTAGCAGATGCAGTTAGCTGAAGATCAATATATACTTACCAAATCCAAATGGTATCGTTCGAAGACAGGTTGAGTAAACACACTGTTGCCATTCTATATGTTAATTGTCCATATCCTAAATTTGTTATTGTGGGTTACAAGGCATATTTTATCAGTGTACATATTAGGAAACATTGTGGGAGTTTTCCTTAATACTGTGTTTCAAAAATGAATTTAAATATAAATCCTTGTTACAGTCAATTTTGTGATTTATAAATTGTTCCGTTATTCCTGGTACCTCAGATGTAGAAGGAAATCAAAGCATAGTACCAAATTATTATTTAAATGATCAAATTTCCTTGAGTATATTAGGAATGATTAACAGGAGAATCATCTCACATGAAGGAGTAAATCAGTTTTCTTTATAAATAAGCGATTCAAGGTTCAGATCCAGTTTACGCTGCCATACCATGGAAGACTGATTTGCTCTTAACATGGAGCTATAGAGAGAAAGATCAAATAAAGAGCAATTTTATTTGACTAAAATATAATTCCTCATACCATTAAAATTGTATTTATATTCATTTAGATTGCAAATCAGGTAAATAATATACCTGTAGAAAAATGGTATTGAAATAAGGTGTCTCTGGGAAGTCTGAGGTAGGGGAGGACTTGTGTTACTTGGTTGTGAACGACGACATTGCTCTGCTGAATAGCTGGGCAGCTGTCTATGGATGATCTGCAGACTGTATCATCTCAATTACAGTAGTGTCCGGTATAATTCTGAATGGAAAATTGGTGTCCTTGGCAAGGTACCATGATAAGTGATCACGATACTCAATTGCGAGCCTTTTTTTTTTTTTTTTAATTAATCATGTTCTGTCCTCAAGCTCAGAAATTACTAAGAAATTATTTTAATGGGAGTTTATAATTTACTTGATTTAAAGTTGATGGTGACACTTAATACGGCTTCAAGTTTTCTTTGATGGGTTCTTTCCATTTAATGTTTTAAAATTGTTTGTGATATAATTGTTTTCACTGTGCAACTTGGAAAGTACGTTTTTCATGGATACGTCCTCTCATCTTTCCAGAAAACATAGATGCAGAAGTTCGTCTTACAGAATTGTGTGAAGAAGTAAAGGTACGATTGTTTTTCATATATTAAATAAGGGAAATAACCATAAAAGCAGAGTATACTGATTTCATGTGCTGTTTGGGAATAAAATGTTTGTTTCAGTGATAACATCCTGTATGTATTTTGCCAACACTTATTTCACTTCTTCCTCATTCAAAGAGAAATTGCTCAACTGACTCCAAAACTCACTGTATCCAAAACTATTAATCTGGTGGCTTAGCATGTCAGTAGTAGCCATGTTAACTTTTGTGTATCATGAAACTGAAGATTATGGAAAGGTGGATTTCTTGTATTACAATCACATTTTGAACTTTCTGCATTTATAATTCTTTGGTTTTGATGGTCCAGACATTAGAAGATCAAGCAGAAGTACTAAGCTGTACAGAAGCAGATTCTCCAAGTCATCCCTTCATCTGGAAGGACTGATGGATGCTCTCTCCTTCTGGGTTTTGTGCATTCTCAAGGAAATACTGGCTACTTCAGATTACTTAGATTCGTCTCCCCAACTCTCTCCTTAGAAGTAGCCCCATTGGAATAGCCAGTTTCATTGTCACAGCAAAGTTTAAAACAGAGGTTTTAAAACTTCTGGAAGATTGTCAGTGCCTTGCTGCTGAGGAGACCATCTGCCCAGCTGTTGCAGAAGAGCAGGCGTACCTTTCATCACTGAAAGTAGTAGTAGAATTGCAAGGAAGTATAATACTGGCTTTCCGTATAACTGGAGACAGAGCCAGTGAAATTAGCTCTCTATGGGCAGCTAATAGTATATAAATTAAAAGTTTTTCTAGTATTTACATAGCTTTTGTGAATTTTTTAGCTTCCCCCTTAGCTTGCTAATGTATGTTTATATTTTTTCCTTTTTCTCCTTTCTCTTCTTTCATGCAGTTCTCATCAAAAGTTTCTCCTCTTATTTCCACTCTCTCCTGCTAAGTTGACGTTTCAGTGTTTTCAGTCCTTTTTTTCTCTTTAATATTGCTGGAGTTGGGTCTTTACTGTCTTTGCTTCCTAACTCCTTTGCCTCAGAACCTCATGGGCCTGCAGGTAGTTTCTGAAATAAAAATAGAGTTTTGTAAACTGGCAGGGAACATAAACGTGGCGGCCTACAGCCGACTTGCGGGGATCTGTGTCACAGGAATATAGTACCTCGTGAAGAAGGAAAAACTGGTGTTGCGGTAGATTTGTCTTTGTGCGATCTGGTTCTGGGAAGCGTACACCGTAACACTGCTTCCCAATTAAAGTGTGTGTATAGTGTTGTGTAGGTGTCATCCTGCGTTGTGACTGTTCTGAAATGGAGATGCCTTTATTAAATTTCTACAGTTGTATCAAATTTGGACTAACATAGGGCTGATCAATTTTCTGTTTTCTAATTCCCAATTCCTAGATTTTTGCATGTTAGAAAATACAACTGTTGCAACTCAGTTATAGTTGCTATAAATTGAATTGTTGCTTTAATTAAAGGTCCGGAGTCCTAATTCTAAAAAACAACTGGCTAATATTTAAAGCACTGTAAAATAATCTGATAGTGTTGTAACATAGTTTATTTCGATTCTGATTGTTAGACAACACAGTTCTCATTTGGAAATTACTTTTTAAATTAAAATTCTCACTGAATTAAAGTACACTTTTTTGATTGTTGTCTGTACGTTATGGTCTCATCTGTTAATCATGTAATTATGTTTTCCTAACTTCAGAAAATGGAAAATCCTGATGAACTGGCAGAACTTATAAATATGAATCTTGCTCAGCTTTGCTCACTTCTGATGGCTCTCTGGGGGCAGTTTCTGGAGGTCATTACCTTACAAGAGGAGGTCACAGCACTGCTAGCACAAGAGCATCACACGTTAAGAGTAAGTATTCACTCTGGCACATTCGTACTCTTGTTGGGACACATTACTATGGAAATGTGTATCAAAATGAAACTCCAGATTCTAGTTTTTCTGGTTTTATATGGGAAGGTTGGTTGGAATTGTAAGGGGAGCTGTTGTATTGCATTTGTTAGCTTGTGTATCATGTTATTAGAGTTTATTCTTGGAATGTAATACATAAAATACATTATTTATGTTTATGAACCAACTAATTCATTGATCTTTTGCAAAAGGAATGTGGCTCAGAAGACAAATTGCAGTCTGTGGAATAAGATGTATTTGTGCAAAATGATGTATTTTTCTGCGGGGGCCATGCCTAGTGCCCAACCTGCATTTTACCTCCCTACTGCATTTAGGCTGCCTGCTTGCATCGTAAAACAAAGTGTACTTGCCTTCCTATAACATTCATAAGGTTTGAAAAGTCTCTTAAGTGAGATTTTAAAAAAGAAATGTCCTGGAGATGATCTGGTCTGTGAGTATGTGTGTATATGTGTAAAAATATATATAATCATAGGATCATAGAATGGT